GCTTTGATCACGCGTTGAGAGATCTCGCCCACACCTCCGCCAGCCGTTATGCAACTCCCAAAGTAGACAAAGCTTTCGACTATCTCCAGAGTGTCATTACCCAACGAAAGTGCAGGAATGGGTTCCTGCCAGTCGTGCAACAACACTTTACACTTTGAAGGTGCAAATGACATACCATAGCGAGTGACCCCAATTTCCCAATGGTTCAACAACTCTTGAATCGTTGATGGGTTGTCACCCAGTAAGGTAATATGATCGGCATACTCTAAGTCTACGACTCTGTCTCAAGGAGGAAGCTGGACGCCAGCGTTCGTTACGTTATGTAACGCGTTTCGTGGGACATCATCTATGGCAAAGTTGAAGAGAAAAGGAGAGATAACGCAACCCTGTCGCACCTCACTGGTGACAGGAAATGAGGGTGAAAGTTCACCATAGGCCCTAACCTTCCCCGAGGTCTGGTGATAAAGCGCTTTTAGGAGTGAGACGTACTTCTCGGGTACTCCGTATCTCAGCAAATAGTTCCACAGTGCAGGGCGATCGATAGAGTCGAAAGCCGTTCTGATGTCTAAAAGCATGCAATGGTTTGTCGTCTGTATGCGTGGCGGTGTTCTAGTAGCTGACGGAGGGTGAAGATTTGATCTATGCAGCCCCGGCGTGCACGAAACCCGACCTGCTCCTTGTGGATTTGCTTCTCACGGAATGGGCATAACCCGCGTAATAAAACGGACGCCAACAGCTTCGGCGCAGTTGGAATCAGACCTATGCCTCTGTGGTTGGAACAGGCGTTGCGACAGCCCTTCTTGTGGATGGCTGTGACAATTGATTCTCCCCATATGTGGGGTACACTTTCAGTTTCCCAGATCTTTGAGAGCAATCTCACAAGTTCTCTTACGAGAGCTTCTCCACCATCTATAAAGAGGACAGGTGGCAGGCCGTCTGATCCAGCTGCCTTGTGGCGTTTCAGGGCTTGGAGTTCCTTTCGGATCTCCGCTTCTGTGGGCGATCCCGTGGATGGTGACTAGGGTGCACTCTCAAGAGAACTGCTTGGGGCATCCAGCGCGGAGGGGGGAGGGGCTGGTTGAACTGCGATGTGAAGTGCTCTGCCCAGCGTTCCAAGCGTCGGTGAAGGCTGTTTATTAGCGTACCGTATGCTTCGCAGATTGTTTCACTAACGCACTGTCTTTTGGGGCCTGTAGCACGGATGAGCTGGAATAGTTGCCGGGTGTTTCCACACCTATCCGCCGATTCCATCTCTTTCGCACGTAGCGTCCACCAGGCTTTTCGGTCGTCTCTTAAACTCATTGTGAGTTCACGCTCCAGGGAACGGCAGTGTTTCACATATCCTCTCCATTTATAGTTAATAGCTATATGGTCAATCTGCCTCCACGTCTGTGCCGAAGAGGGGTTATGCCAGGTGGTGAGGTGACGCTTAGAATGTCTGAATTTCGTGCTAACGAGGAACAGACCGTGTTCTGAGCATACGCTAAGAAGTCTATCCCCATTATCTGAACGACAGCTATCAAGGCCATGACGGCTACCAAGGTGGGTTTCATCTGGTGACAGACGACCAACGCGTGCATTTAGGTCTCCGACCAGGATCACGATATCCGTCTTAGGTGCTTTGAGAAGAAGCTCATGTAGGTTGTGATAGAAGGCGTCCTTGACTGTATCCGGGCTACAGTCTATGGGAGCGTATGCAGAAACCACGAATAAGCATCGTTCATTTGGTTTCTGCTTTTTGACCTTACTTGAGCCTTCAAGTCTCACTGCGCATAGTGGGCTATCTATCGGGATCCAGTTCAATAGACCAGCCTCGGCCCCGGCACTCAAGGCAATACCTACGCCTGCTTGCCCAGACGCTGAAGCGATAGGGTTCCCGGAGAAGCGCAGTTGAAACGCTTCTTTAGGATTGGAAGGAGACTTTAATCGGATCCTGGATGCGTGTTTCCGAGAGGTA